GACTGGGTCAGGCTCAAAGGAAACTATGTAGCTGGTTCAAGAAAGATGATAGAGAAAGGGGTCACTACAGGCAGATGTGGAGAAAAGCCACAACCACTCATAACCTCCACCATTGCAAGATAGCCTGGGGTGTGTTGTATATGTAAGGGGAAGGGGAAGTATTTTCTCATTTTATCTGCTTCAAGATGACAGATCTATAAAGCCACTTCCAAACTGGAAGATTGTAGCCAAAACTATAGGGACAGATGGGCCAGTAGAGACCCCTGCAAGGATTTGAAATATTTGCATTTTCCCTCTGCATCTGCTATATGAGCACAGAATAAGGAAAATGCAGTTGTTCTGGGATGGCTTTTGTGACCATTTCAACCCAGAAAGTTTTGCTGGGGTTTCCCATCGAGCCTTGTCCTGACACTTAGCCATTAAAGGCTTCTTGGAATTTTAGCTACACGCAGGACTATGTGGCATTTTCTGTTTTTCTTTTCTGCCCCTGCCTGGGTATAGGTCTCTCTTAGCCAGGTGGCTAGTGGTACGGACAGCTGAGACTACTTCCCAGAAACCAGGGCTTACTTCACAGGGACTGAATGAGGTTTTGGGTTCCCAAATTGACGGATCCCGAAGGTCTGCTAACCAGCTCTAGCCCTGTGTATGTACTGATCTGACGATGTCTTACGTCAAGCAATGCTTAGTTGAGATACTTTTGAGTGTTTCAGAGATCACGCCAATGTCTACTGAGGCTAGCGATTGGCTCTGTTATAGGAGAGTGTATAGATGGCCCAGGGATCGACGATACCACATCTGCTCACAGGAGTTCCCATAGGAGTGCTTGGGTATGGTCAGATAACCTTGGCTGTCTCTGAACTGCCAACTCTCTGGGCAACCTTCTATAGGCAGATGCCCTACCGGGAAAATGAGGACCAGATGTACTCAAGATCTCAAAAGAAATTAATGGCAACAAGACTCTGGGGTAAAAAATATCTGTGTTCTTGTTCACTGAGCTTGTTCACTCAGCTCCTGTTCTATCTAAGGATCATTTAGGCTTAATTATAGAGTTCAGGCATTCATTGGGTTTTTGATTAATTTTCTTTTCAGCCAGGAAAGTGTGTGAGTGTGGTAGGTCTTTGTCTGTGCGTGTGCATGTGCCTGTGCGTGTGTGTGTGTGTGTGTGTGCGCGCGCGCGCGTGCGTTTATATCATTCTTTGCAACTCAGTTGGGAGCAGTCTCTACCGATGTTTAATTGTGCCCTCCACTCTTAACAAGAACATTCAATGTGCCAAGAAGGCCTTGGAAGGCCATTGTTCCCACTGCCTCCGCCCCATGGGCTGCTCTTATGCGTGCACTGAGGGACTGCGGGTGGCAGGGCACTGCTCAGCTAGAACCTCAGCTTTAGGATGCCTGCTTCCTGCCTGTCTTTGTACTTGCAGTGTCTTAGATTCTGAGACCAGGGGAACAGCTTTCCTTACTCAATTAATTACAAGTGACAGCCACATCCCCCACACCATAGTCCCTGACAGGCATTTTTCTGGGCCAACTTCCCTGGGGATTACAAGGCTCTTTGAGGAAGAAAACAGCTTTCATTCTCTCATTTTTAATGACTCCACTTCGTAGGTAGGGGAGGACTACATGACTGTGCAGGTGACAGTGACCTGCCGTGTCCTTTTCTTTCTTCTCCTTTGTGCTAAGGAGTAAACTAAGGGAGGGACAGCACCATACAGAGGGAGAAAATGGGGGTTTGAGCCAAAAGGCCCAGTTTGAATCCTAGCTCTTGGCTTTTTTTTTTTTTTTTTTGCGTGCCTGTGGATATATAATTTAACATCTTTGGTCTCAATTTGCTATTTGTAAAATGTGGACAATAACACCACCACCACCATCACCATCAAATGACACTTTTTATAAGATGAACTGTGGACGAGAAAATGCATGTGGAGGCCTTTTGTAAAATCTTTTATAAATCATTGCTATTTTATTTTACTATGCAGAGTTGTTTCTTAGACCATGATTTTGGCCTTTGAGGTATTTGTTGCAGGGGTGGGGGGGGGAACCAAAATGAATCATTGGATGGAAAACAGAAAGGGGACCAGCCTCCAGCCTCCCATGTGCTGTGGACTACAGCAATGACCTGAGGATGTGGTATGCCTGCATTAGAGAAAACAAAGATTAAGGGTTCAATATCAAAACAGCTGTCACAGACAGAAAGCAATCTGCAATACTCATTTTTAGATATTATAATGAAAAGGGTTCTGGACCCAATTGTTTTTAATTTCTAGGCTAATTGATTTGTGGGTGAATGATTCTGGGACAATGACAGTGTTTCTGGCTGGAGACGAGGGAAGACCCCAGGTCCCGAGTAATGTTCCTGTATTGTAAGCTGGGATCTGGGAGACTCAGGCCTCTTGACCTGTGCTGATTAGGTTTGTGATCCTGAATAGATGACCCAATTTAAATGGGCCTCAATTTCCTTGGAGATCATAGATTAGAATATCTCAAAGGTGACCTCATTTAAGGACTTAAGATCTGATGACGTGTTGTTTCAAATGTGGGAGTTTAAAACTGTTGTGCCATGAAGAAACTATGAACCTATACAGAATCCAAATATAGTCTGGATACCACTCAACTCACACCAAAGGCTCAGGATGAGCCCCTTTGGAACCAATGCTGCCTGGAGTCAGACCACCTGTTCTCAAGGGGATGTTGATGGGAAGATGCAAGTGACCCCAGCAGAGATCTCAAGGTTAATTCTCTCCTGTAAGAGAGCCCTTTGCTTGGCAATATCCTGACTAAGCTAAAAGGCAATGATCCACAGATAGCGAGAAAGGGGGTCATCTCCTTGTAAAACAACGATAACTTTAACACAATTGGCAATTGGGAAATCGAGTGTTCTGCCAGATTGACTTCAGAACCGAGAGAGTTTATAGAAGTAACAAATGACAATGGTAATGCATATTTGCATAGTGCTTTTACCTTTTATAAGCCCTTACCCATATTTTTTTTTCTCAATTTTTATTACATCATTCCCCAGAAAACCACCTGGGGGTAATTTATTTTAAAAATCTGGAGTGATTCTTTTTATGGAAGAATAAGCCTAGGTAAGCAAATGCTGTACCTTGTTTTGTAAGTATAGACAGCTCTTTGAAAAGCTATATTTTATGTAAATATAATGTGTGAGTCATATCTTAATGTTCTAGGGACATTTAAAGACTGAAACCTTGCATAGAATTTTTAATATAAACTTGTTCTATTCATCTGTTGTTACACTTTTAGATGTAAAAAAACAGGTTTTCTTAAAATGGGACTACATGGCTTGCATTCCAAGATCAGCATCCACTGTCCCAAATCTCATAAAAGTGGTATCTAAATTCAATGAGGAAGAGATTGGGTGTTTCTGATGTCAGCATGAGACATAAGCAGCTTTACTCTTCAGCCTGTAGCTCTCTGAGGTTAGCTCTATCATGAAAAAGTAGGGAAGCATGGGAAAGGGACAGAGAAACCCAAAAGTATTAGCCAAATCATCTCTAAATAGAATTATTTCTAGACAGAGTCTTTGCAGTTCACTGATGGACATTGATGTGTTGCTATAAATGACTTGACATCAATAACTAGTCTATGAGAGAGAAGCTGATGGTTGGGGTGTGAAGTTAGTGCTATATAACTGTGAGTAGCATCCTCTGGGACAAGAGCATGAAGAAATTAGACCACAGTGCATTTTAAACAAAAGCAATGAATAAGGCCCTCCTGGTTCACATTCTCTGTCCCCAAACTCTAGCAGATTTGGAGTCAATGACAGGATCTGTATAATGGCTCCAGACTGGGCATCTCTCATCTCTGAAATTAGGCTTGAAAAATTATTCAATGTACCACATTGTGAGAATTCTGTAGTTTACTCGCACAGGGAGTTTCTGAACAAGGAAGGCTCTATCTCACAATCTTCACTATTTAGAATAACAAGGAAAACACTTTTTGTGTGGGGATGATTCAGACTGAAAGGATTGGAAATCTGTAAATACTGGAAACCCTTCAGAGAGTCTTACACTGCTTCACTAAAGGACATTTGACTTCCTACCTTTATTGGCTGGGTCTCAGTAACACAAGTTTGCTCAAGGTAAGCACTCAGATTTTCACTAAAGAAGTAGGAAGCATTTCTTCCTACATCTGGACAAGCAATTAAAGTTGAATTTTTGCAAGTACAGCTGGACTTACAGTTTGTGTACTATGTGTGTTTAAAGGCCATTGATGAATATTCAGGCACTACTGGCAAGACTAGTTATTATCTCTAAATACTGGTGTGTGAGCATTTCCCGTGCCCCAAAAATTCAGAGATTAAAACTTGAATGTATTGTTCTCATTTGTTGAGATGTTCCTGAAGCCCTACATGAATGGCAGGCTACATACACATCTTTGTAAATTTGGAGCTGATGAGGAATCTGTAGCTGTAAACAAAGTCACAGATTGGATCACTAAGAACTCAGGAGGGACCCAGTGCCGTTGTTACTCAGAAAACAGGAACTACATGTCCAATACTGTGACTAAAAACACTTAGAATGAGCCCTCTCTTTGGGAAGAGTGGCTGGAAGCAGTCACAGTGTGTGTCCATCAGGGCTGCTGACATCAGCACTTTGGACAGTTCCCAGGGCAGTGCTTATTCAAACAGTGCAAAGGGCTCATACTACCTTTCCAGTTTAAGTGTTCCTCTCATTCCAGTGGGTGTGTAGACAATCTGATCATGAACTAATATATGATATTAATCTGTAACAACAACTTCATCGTCTCTGTCCCCATCACCCAGTCTCTTTCACCCAACTCCCCAACACCCTCCAGTCACACCTGCTGTGGATGTTTCCACTCGTGCTTCTAATTGGTTGGGAAGCAGCATCCGCCACAGGCACTGTTTAGTTTCATTTACATCCCCTGCATCTCACAGGAAAGAAATGGTCAATAGTTCAAATAAAAGAATCATCCCGGTCAGCTGCAAAATATGGCTACTTGCATGGTAATCAAAGCAAGTCTGTCAAAACAGTGATTTCTTTATTCCTAAGAGGAAAGGGCTTTTCCTAAGGGTTATGGTTCTACCACCCAAGGAGCAGCTGTACTCTTCACAAGTAGCTGCAGAGGCTGGCAAACCGAGAGGTCTGCTTTGGCTCAGAAACTCAGTTTGGCTCCTGCCACCCCTGGCAACCCCACTGCGTGTCTCAGTGGCACATGTCCCACACACAGTCGGGCAGTCTGCTTCTACTTAGGAGGTATCACAACCAGAGGTGGCCCCCGCTTCGGTCGCCACATGAGGACCTGGGCATCATTGGCATTGGGCTTCACTAGTGCGTTAGGGGGAATGGGTTCCATCCGGCTCAGAATCCGGGGCTGCTCCTGCTGAGTCCTGCCCACGAGCCGGGCCCGCTGCCCCAGCAGCTGAAGAGGGTCCACTTCAATGTCCACTCTCATCCTCCACTTGATGGTCTGCAGAATGATCTTCTCCTTTGTGGTGGTGTTCATGGCCACCAGCCAGGTGGTAAAACTTTGGTCCCTCTTGATTCTTGTGAGAAGTGGCACGTTGCTGTCACTCACTGGCACTGCCCATGTCACACTGGGGTAAAAGTTATCATTCATGCTGACGGAGAACCTGGAGATCTTGTTGGTGGGGCCGACCAGGGTCACAGTCTCTGTGGTGTTCCCGTACCAGGGGTAGCTCACCCCATCTGAGTCGCTGATGGCTTTTACTCTCCCTTCCCTCAAGTCAGGCAGTTCCCAGCTCGACCTGGAGAAACAAAAGCGATACACAAGAAAAGGCTCAATGAACTTTTGTAAATGTTAGACAGGTGCCTACCACTTACTAACAGAGTCAAGTTGGGAAAAATGGGAAGTTGGGAGGGGGAATTTACGTTAAAAAGTTCTATGCTGTGCTGTATCAGGATTAAATGAGAAAAAAACCCATCAAAATGAAATAAAACCACGGTTCCAAAGTACGTTAAATAAAAGTCTAGCTGACCCAATGGAAAATAAGCCCAAAGAAACAGCGATGAGACCACAAGCAGCTGACAAATCACTGGAATAATGGCCATGAGCAGTTTAGAGGTAACCTATGACAGGGTGCACCATTTGGGGAGAAGAATGTGTTTGAATAAGGTTTGACCTGCAAGAGGTGTTATGAAATTTAATGTACTTGGAAGGATGTAACAGGAGGAAAGGAGAAGAGGGGTAAAAGAAGCGAAGTTCAACATTGTATCAATTTCTTAGAAAAGCCACAGTAGTAGAATTTCTATTCTACATTTCATCTTTAAATTCTACCATTAAACCACACCAGCACTCAGAAAACACAGCAAAGGAAAAGCTGTGATGGAGTACCGGTCACTTTTCCACTGAAGCTAAATTGCTTTGGGGAAACTGTGCTGAAGGCTGGCATGCATGCTTCCTCACACATTGCTCCCCCTACCCCCAGCTTAGTGTCCTGGATGGAATCTTCATCGCTTTGTTTGTGACCTTGGCACTCTCTACTCTTCCTGTCTGTCTCCCATCCTTGTACAGAATGACAGAGGATAACATGTGGCCACTCTTAGCCCATCCTCCCCACCGGGGGTTGTTGCATATAATGATGATAATCATAATGGTCATAACTGATAGTTATGGAGCACTAACCCCACCCTGACCACCGTGTTAAGTATTCTGTTATCGCAGATTATGTTCAAAAGATTCCATGCTATAACTGGACTTTACTTCTATTTTTCTCCACACAAAAAGGCTTAAAATGTTGGTATGTATCAAGTGTCCTACAAATTCTCAGAGGTTAGACTGTTTTACTTTAGAGTGTATGATTTTGACCATTGTATCATACTGCTTCCAAGTATCCACACATGGGAGAAGCCAGAGTAAAGGGAACTTATGCTGTGTGATGATCTAACCAACAGCACTTAGTATGGCCATAGGAAATCTGACTGGACATTCTACACACTCCCACTCCAAGAACCAGGAATGAAAGCAATGCTAGGTAATAATGCCTATAATTCAATAATTAAAGAATGCTGAATTTTCTACTTATTAGCTAAGAGGTGGTGGTGGCCTTGTTTAATATAAAGTTCTTCTCCTTCAGAGATGACAGAAGATCCTGCAGGGCTTATCCAAATGGTAGAAAAGGGAGTTACACGCTGATACTGATAATGTCTCAGCATCCCCTGCTAGGGAGCATGGAAACACTAACTGCTGCTTCATGGAAACACTAACTGCTGATTTTGGCCACCCCCATGGTACTTTCTATGCCAGTCATCCCATCACAAGTGAAGGGAGGGCTGGACCGCCTGGGGAGGAGAGCCCACAGCTGCAAGAGGCTTTTCTCTTGTCTTCATGTCCTTGGTAACTGTTGGGAATAATTGTAGTATATCATGGTTGGCAGAAGCTAAGTAATAGAAACTGACCTAATGCAAAGTCGAAGAGTCCTCATCTTACTACGAATGCTGGTGTGCTGTGCTGGGTGGAGCTCCCAGATCATTCTGTAGCTACTGCCCTTCCTCCTTCCCTTCCTCCTTCCCTCCCTCTCTCCCACCCTTTCTCCCTGCCACCCTCTCTCCATCTCTTCTTCCCTCCATTTGAGACAGGGTCTCTCTATAGCCCTAGCTGGCTCAGACCTGTTATGTAGACCAGGTTGGCTTTGAACTCAGAGATCCGTGTGCTTCTGTCTTCCAAATGCTGGGATTAAAAATATTCACCACCATGCATGGCACCCCGTCCCCATTATAATATAATTACACTTTCCTCTTTCTTCCATCTAAACCCTCTCATATACCTCACCTGGTTCTCTGAAATTCATGGCATATATATATATATATATATATATATATATATATATATATATATATCAACTTCTTATTGTATAGAAAGTAGTGTTTGTTGTTTGAGTGTAATATAATTATGTATGAATCAGCATGGAGCATGGTAGAGAGCCAATTGGCTAATCTGCTTGCTGGGTTTGTGAAATGACCACATTGAAGTCACTGTGTCCCAACTAAGGGTCAAGACAATGCTTATCACTGAATATTATTTCCAAACCTCAGTTTTTATTTTGACTAATGGCCAAACACTCTGACACTTTCTGAGTAGCCAAAGGATAGGCCTTTCCAGAAGTGCTAGGTCAGACTTGCTCTTCCAACCTTCTCACAGCCAACTGTGCTGTGTCTAGTCTGGAGAATTATGTTTCCAGTGAATGCATTACTTGTTCTACTACAATTCAAGTGGATGCACTCTTTGTTCCACAACAATGCTGAGCTTTTCAGGACTGGGTATGTTGATGGTCAATCCAATTCCTTTGTCCATAGCTGAGTTACCATCCACATTTTGCCTTCATCTTCCTGCCCAGAGCCAAAGGCAAGAGACCTGAGCCCACACTCTAGCAGTCTGTCTGGTTGGGAGATACTAAAACTTAATTTTGTTCCAGGTTTTCTCATGAATGGAGATGATGTAATGAGAAGCACAAGTGTGTCTGTCTCAGAAATGAAGGAAGAGAGCTGACTCATAGGATGCTCTGGAATGCATCAATATCCTAAGCTTCTTAGGTACCACATCCCAGCAAGGATGGATCTGGCTGAGTGTAGTCTTGTGTTTGTGATCTTAGTGGGCTACACACCTGTTTTGTTATGGCTTCTGTTTTGCTTGAGTTCAAATTGGGATCTCTCCCACAGCCCCATGGGACCAGTATCTACATTTATCTACATTATGGAGGGGTGGCTTAATTTAGGAAATAACTATAATCATTAAGTCTAGTGAAGGGGAAGTGGCTATTAGAAAATTATCATATTTTTATTTCTTCTATGAAAATGAGATCTTTATTTCCAAGCAGTGGTTTGAAAGAGCTTGCCTATAAAATGCATAACTGGTTTATGTAGAAGATGAGGTCATTGTAAAGCTCCAACAATGGTAGCCTGGAGTCCCTTGGTGGCTGTTGAGAGGACTTCTGTGACCAGAAGGCACTTCAGATTCCTCATGGTACAAACAGAACTTTCCATCTCCACCTTAGAGCTGGACCTTTCCCTCTCTGCTGCATCCAACCTTTCAGGTCAGAAGTGAAGGCCACATTTGACTCTTCCCACCCCTCACACAGACCACCACAGAGCATCTTGTGACTTTTGACTCACAAATCACATGTGGATTTATTTCTTTTTCTTTACCCACCCCTCACTGCTTTCATTTAATCCGAGCCTTTATCATCTCCTAAACAGTATACTGTCATAACCCATCAACTGGTCTCTGCATCCAATGCTGACTTCCCTCCACTTCAGCCTGTAGACTTCACAAGTTCTCAAACTTGTTGGCTGTACACATAAAATGCCTCTATGAGTCCTTTACATGGAAATCACCGGGTCAGTCATTGGATAAAATGTGAGCTCTTCACTGGCACAGACCTGGCTACTGTGATCTGTCCTCTCTTCCCCTATGTACCATGCTGTTTCTCTCCTTCACCCCTTAGCTTTTGCCGAATCCTTTGCTCACACTGCTCGCCCTCCTAATAAAAGTCAAAGGGTAACCACTTACCCTTTGAGAATCATCAGGAGTCACTCCCCCACAGGAATATCACTATTTTCACCAACCTATGGGTGTGTTCAGATTGAAAGGTGCCAGATTACAGCTTAACTTTTAGCTTTTATATCTCTTTCTTGATTACATGTCAATGTCCTTGGAATTGTGACTTACTTTTGAATCAGTATCTAGTACATAGCTGGCACACAGCTAAAACTTACTATTTCTTGGGTGGACCCACCCCCGATTATATGAGCACTACAAACTGGATTTATCTGTTAAACACAGGCACACACACAAAGACTATGAAGTTAGGAGGAAGAATGGGGAGTGAGGGATAGATCTTGGAGGAACTAGGTCTGGGAGGGAGTAGAAAGGGTGAATATAATCAAAATACATTGTATGCACTTCAAATAATTAATTAATAAAATATATTTTGAAACCTTAACATTTCTCAAAGGATTGAATATAATGTTTGAGCTTCATGCCTTTATGTGTGGGGTTTGATAGAACTTATGCACAGCAGAACTTGTTATCACAGCTCTGCATTTATATATTTGCTCGCTCCCCAAACCCTAACATCTATTATTCATCTAGAATCTATTATTAGGATAGTTGCACACCTTGCACTGAACGTTATTTGTCTTTGGGGGAGGCAAGCCACATTTCAAATGAGTGAATTAGTAAGCACAAATGTATTTCAGAGACTATTTTTGCAGTACATAGCAAACATATGAAAATGAGTAGCACAAACTCCCAAGTGCTACTGGCTCCGGATGTGTAGAGTTACAAAGGCAAGAACTGGAGGAGGGAGCTTTGCAGAGGAAACAGGTTATGGGAGACAAAGACAGGCCTTCTCAGCTGGGAGGTTTCATCAAAGGCCAAAGTACCATCATGAGATGGAGTGTTCAGAAAGCAGGAGGGGTGACTTGGGGAAGTGAATGAAGGAGAAATGAGAATGAAGGGCAGTCTTGGCTTGATGGGTATCTTGAATAATGGGCTTTGGCATGCAGACTTCATCCTAGAGGTGGGGGGATTTGCACTGGAGACTCCTGGGCCAGGCAAGGTCAGGTTCAAAGGTGAACTTGCTTGTTGGAGGGTCAGAGAGCAAGGATGAACCGAACATTTGCAACACTGCAGGTAGTAGCTATTTTTTTTTTTAAGGTTTTGTTAGTTTGCTTTGAAACATCTCATGCAATCCTGGCTAGGTGAGAATGAACGGTGTGAGCTGAGGATATCCCTGAACTGTGGATC